GAAAGTTGCAGTTAGATTATTAAAAAGAAAAGTTTAAGGATGAACTTAAATGTTTCTGTAAAATGTGAATTTTACATTGTCTTTTATGTCATATTTTTAGAAAATATTTTTATATATTTCAACAAAAATATGGAACCATTTAATGAAACTTATAGTCCTTAAATGTTTCTGAACTTTTGCCATCTTTCAATAGAACTTGAATGTAAATGTTATGACTGTTTACTCAAATGGTATTTTTCTTGCATTTCAAAGCTTGCTTTTCTCTTCTAATGAATGTAAAGTTCATATTTGTCATCTCTTGGGACAGATAGAATTAAAGGAAATAGAAATTTGAAAATCAAAGATATATTATACCCACAGAAGTTCAAACTAAACCACAGTGCATAGAGGTCAAGGTGGGAAAATGGACTGTCAAGCCAGCCAAGAATGGGGACATTTTGATGCTTCTGGTTCTTAGAATAGGACTGCCTGTAAGTTTCATCCTCATGAGACCTGGGGTAGACTGCTATTCCTAGCTCCATCCCTCTAAGCAGCAGAGAAGGGTGCCATTATTCTCCTTACTGCCGGAGACAGTAGGTCCTGGGACTGATTTCAACAAATGAGAACTTCTGAATCTTGTAGTGTCATACCCAGATAATTGTGATGAATCATTGTGCCTGGGGAGTTGAGAGGGCTCAGGTAATAGAGGAAAGCTGGTTATAAAATGTTAGCAGACCAGGTGGAGAGGCGGTACCAGATAGTGGTTAAGAGTGGGGCTCTGTCCGAACTCAGAACTTCTAGCTTCAAGTTTTAGCTCTCCACCTGACTGAATGACTGTGAGTGAGTAACATTCTTTCTCAGTCTCAGTTTCCTTATCAGTAAATAGTAGTTAGTAATAGTAGCCCATCATTGTTGTGTTATGAGTAAAAAAAAAGAAGCTTGGTACTGCCTGACAAATAAGAGCTCACTCAACATTAGTCCTTATCATTACAGAGAAGCCCAAGTAGCTGTCAGGAACCCTATGGTTACAGGCAGTGTGTGTTCACGTAATGTAACAGTGGTGGTGTTAGCAGCAGCTATGGGAATAGAAACATCTCTTGCACATTTACTATATGCAGGCCCTGTGCGTACAAGGATAGAAGATGTGGGGGCTAGAGTCAGCTGAGTAGGCAAGTGGATATAGCTTCACAGCCACTGATTCTGGCCCCTTTGGGGAAGGCTTGAAAGCTGGTTTTGGCTACTTGTGTCCCAGGCCTGGGCTTATTGTTTCTGCTGGTTACTTGCGTGGATGGTGGCTGAGGCCTACTGTGCTAGATTGAATCAGGTTCCTCACCCCCCAACCCACCCACTTCCCATTCTGGAAACTGTTTCTTAGACTTTCCTAAAATAAGACAATCTAGACCAGGGATTTTTCAACAATCTAGCCTCAGCACACTGGTGTGCTGCAAGAACTTTTAAAACATGCAATACCTGACTAGTTAGGGCACTGATCTCTTCCCTTAGACTGTCAAGTAAAAAAAGACAACAGTCAACACAACAATAGGTGTCCAGTGTGAATAAATCAAATGAATACCTATTTTTTCATCTGATCGACAAAACATATTTTTGTTTGAGCTACAGAACTTTAGTAATTAGTTTATGTGTGCCCTAAGATGAAAAAGGTTAAAAATCGCTGATCTGGACTTATGCTATGTAGTCATATTGTATAGGACTTGTTTATAAATATTGTTGACTAAATACTCGCACATTACTTTTTGTTTATTCACCAGGCCACACAAAGCATGGCAGTTAATTTCACGTCCCTTCCCTTTTGTTAGTTAATATTCCACATAAAGAAGAAACCACATCACGTGACAGCAGTACCTTTTGAAATTGATCAGTGTGGATAGACAGTTGTAACATATTCTACAGGGCTGTGAATGTCAACCATTTTGAGCTTGGTTAGAGGGGGGCATGTTCGAACTTGTAGATCCCTCAGAGAAAAGTTTTCCATTTCCCTGAAACTAAAGATTTCAGATGACTACAAATATCATATGGATATATTAAAAGAAAGACCTCTTGCATTCTCTGAATCATGAAAATTATAGTTTAGCAGTTACTACATATTGTTCTTAGCGCTTTCTAAAACAATGAAGACATCTTAAAATCAGTCACAATCCTGAAATAACTTTATTCTTCCCCACCACCTCAGAATTGTATCCAAAGTTGTGTCTGATTTCCACTCAAAAGTCAATATACTACATTTCCCAGGAAGGAGTATTCTTGTCAACACTAAAGACTGAGCGATATTTTTCAGCATTGCAGGACAGAGCCTGCCTGCAGCAGTCTAGAAATCTTGGCTGTGACTTCAATTTGTGGGGAAAATAAAGCTGAGGTGAAAGAGAGTTGACACATATAGAGAGAGAACCATCCACTTGTAGGAAGGAGGGGAGGTCCTGAGAGACCAGAGCTAGGAAGGAAGCCGTCACTAATAAGAGATGAAAGGGATCTGCTGTGGGCTCTGAACCCTCAGAATTGGAGGAATAGGAAATAGGATTGATAGCAGTACATTTTTAAAGATGTTTTTATTGATTTCAAGGAGGGAAAGGAAGAACAAAGACAAGCAGCATAGAAGCCTCTATAAGAAAACTGCCAGTCAGGAAAGGCTGGCTGTAAATTATGTAAAGCAAGACTAAGCAAGGTATTCTAAAATAAACGAGAGGTCATTTAAAATTAAAAGACTACTACATCATGATAAATTTTTCAAAGTGAACATCTTCCAAGTGACTAGCACCCAAGTAAGGCAAGATGATGTTATTAGCACCCCAGAAATCCTTTCATACTTCTTTCTAGTCATAGCCATGTTTTGTTGTTAATCCTCAGATGAGAATATTCTTTCATTGATTTTTAGAGTGTGTGGCAGGGAGGGGGAGAGTTGAGAGAGAAACATTGATGCGAGAGACATATCGACTGGCTGCCTCCCAACCAGGGCCAGGGATCGAAACTGCAACCTGAGACATGTGCCCTTCAGGAGGGAAACTGAAACTCTTCAGTCTAAAGACCAATGCTCTATCCACTGAGCCATGGTTTTGATTAAGCTCACAGCTTAATACACAGCACTTTAAAAACGAACCATAAGTATGTATGTTATAGGGTAGTAAGTAGAGATACACACAAAGGGCTACTGTAAATCATTGTCAAATAGAAACTGGTACCCCTGTCCTATCAGTTTCCAGCTATCCTCCTCCAAAAACCCTAAGCAACACAGGATATTGACTCAGTGTCTCAGAGATGTCTGAGTACCTCCGATTACTCTGCTAGATGATAATATGGCTGTTGTCATTTTTTTTTTATCTGACAATCTAAGGGAAAAGAGGTCAGTGCCCCTGACTCAATAGTCAGGTATCGCCTATCTTAAAAATTCTTGTGGCACATCGGTTGAAAATCACTGACCTAGAGGGGTGAGAGGAGAAAAAGTTCAGGGAAGCCCTTTGGTGGAGGTGGCATTTGAGCCTTGCAGGCAGATCTGTACGGATCTGATAAGGGGGAGAAGGACCTGCAGTCCTGATGGAGCAGCATGTCTGGGAAACAGCAAGCATTCTGGTGTAGCTGGCACAGTCAGTGCATAGAGAGATCTAGTGATACAGCTAGAAATACAGGTGAAGTCCAAATTCAGATTTAATAACATGGTTTCAAAAAGCTATCACATAGTATGGAAAGATGGAATAGAGTTAAAATGACCATCTCTTCAATATTTCCAAACTTCTCACATGGTATAGAAATCTCTTCACATTTGAGCACCCGAATTCCCTCCACTATTTATTTTGCTTGGAATGCTTATACATACTCTCTTTTTTCCACTAGCTAGCTAGTTTTTATGCATCCTTTGATACTTGGCTCAAATGAAAGCATGTCACTTCTTCATCAGAGTTGAATTCCTTCACTTTCCTAATTACCAATCCAAGGCCAGTTCCCTGTGGGGTTCTTCCCATAACATCTTGTCTACACCAACACCTATCACACTGTATACACTATATTAATTACTAACTTCTGTTTTTTACCACTTAGATATGAGCTCCTTGAGATTCATCTCTGTACCTTTCCATCTAAGATGGGATATATGTTTAGTGCAAGTTTATTAAATATAATAAAGGAGGAGGCTATTTTAATAATCTAAAATAAAAATTTTATATTATTTCCCACATGAAAGTGGGAAATAAAAAGTTTAGGGCAGATACCAAAGCTCATATGTTTTACTCATAGGAGAAACCTTTAGGACCCCACCCTAAATCTATTCTTATTTTAAGAATAATTTTAATAAACACGATCATCAGATTTTATAACCTATAAAAATAGTTTCTAATAAAGAACCTGAATCATTAAGAAAAGGTTAAATTACAGTTGAGCATACTTCAGCTTAACAAGATATAGACATGTACTATTTCCAAAGTGTTTTCATCCAAATAAACATGAGGCTTTTTTTTTTTTTTGCACACATCAGTTTACTGACATTGTGATAGACTGTAACAAAACAGAACTTCATACACTGTTTGTGAGGGTGTAAATTGATACAACTTTTATGGATATTATTTATCACCAGCTCTAGAAATTTAAAAGGGGGAATATTCTTTGGTCCAGTAAATCTACTTATAAAAAGTTACCTTGCAGATACACAGGATGTCCCCCAAAAATGTATACACACTTCGAATAATTATAAAGGCAGTGTTTATTAAAGTACATTTCATTTTCTAATACTTCATTGAAGAGACTGTCTTTATTGTATGCTCTTGCCTCCTTTTTCAAATATTGAGCATAATGGCTTGGGTGATTTCTGGGGTCTCTGTTATGTTCTACTGATCATACTGTTCCTGTTCTTGTGCTAATACCAAGCTG